GATTACGTACATTACATCATATTTCTTAGACAATGCCTCCTGTATGCATACAAAAATGTGGCAGTGGGCTTTTGGACCCCTAGTGGTTATTTCTTCATCACTTTGTTTTAGGATCATTGTCAGATCAGTAACCACCAGGTGGTTCTACCAAAGCTTATCTTACTAATTTTGTTTTCTCTATAGTTGCTAACAAAGCCTAAGGCTCTTGAGGTTACTACGCTATTCTTCAATCAACCCCATTCTTCAATGCACTTTATTCTTCAACCAACCCCACTCTTCACTGTGAAGGCAGAGGATACTGATGGCTGGCTCATCCCCTCAGGCAGAGGTGTTCTTCCACCTCCAGTTGGCTGCTGTGGCAGGTGTTCTAGTCTGGAAACTACTTTGGCCAAGAGAAGTGAGGTCTTTTTCCAGGTTCGTTGCTACTTGCCCTGCCAGCAGAGTGTGAGACAAGAACTCCTGTGCCCACTTTGGCTCAGTAGCTCAGAGCTCTGGGCTGTTCAAGCTGATTTGATTCTTGCCCAGAGCAGATCAGGGTAAGCCTGGGTGAACCTCTCTGAGCCTGCACTGTGGGAGCTGGCACAGAGCTGTGCCTGCCAGGGTGTCTTCAGCCACTGCAGGTGTTTGCCTGGTGACCAGCTATCTGCACCTCTTCCCATCCCTAGTGCTGCTGAGGTCTTTGATTTCTCAGCTCCTGACGTGTTTGAATAGGTCTGTCTGTGGTGAGCCCCTCTCTGTGCACATATCCATATGTTTTACTCCAAATGAGAAATCTGTGAGGACAGGGTTTGTATTTGCCACTTCTCAGTGTTCGGAGGCTGCTTGCTACCATGAAGCAGTCAACATGAACTTTTTTTTCTCTGCTGTTTGATGTGCTGAAGGGAGAATCTCTTGGCAGTTGGCAGTACAGGGCATCTGATACACAGAGAAGCGGTTTGTTTTTTGTCCAATAAGCACGTGAACTAATTGCTTCTCCAGTGGTTTCCTGCTGTCTCCAGTTAAACTGCTTCTTCATGTTTTATACTTTTGTTACCTAGAATGTGAGCCATCAAGGCAGGGAACTTGTTTTTATCAGTTTGTAAAATGCTAGTTAAATTTGTAGCCATTGATTTTTAATAACAATAAACTTGATCAGATTAAAGCTTGAAGTTTGAAATGCTGCTTTTTTGATTTATGGGGTGTTTTTTGTTTTTTTCTATTTGGGTTCTTCATCATTTTAGCTGACCTGGTAAATGGCAGTTTATAGTATCGTACCTTACTGATGGACAGACAACAGTCTCCCTTGAACCAGAAAAAAAGAAGGAGGGTGTTTATTGTGTTTTCTTTTTTTAATATTGCAGTGGAACCTGAGCAGGAGAATTCTTTTCCACATGTATATCTGAGATCCAAACAGGGCCTGAATGGTAAGGATAGCTAAAAATAGGACTTAAATAAGCTCACTGTACAATTCTCACCCTGCAGGCAGATCACATTGACCCTGCTGCCAGCAAAAAGTTTCCAGCAACTCCAGTGTTGCAGTTTGTTATCAGTTGAAAAGCAAGATGGGTTCTGGGGTAAAGACACAAAGATGCTGCCACATAAAGCAGCAGAGGGGTGCTTGTCACCAATTCCCTGATGGCCAGAACATCCTAAGTCTTGGTTAGGATCACTTTGGCAGCACACAAACAGCTACAGGTGCCTTTTCTGGGCTGTTTCTGTGGCAATAACAAGAAGCATCTAAGTCCTGCCATGGTGCTACCTCCCCTGTTGCACTATTGCTGTGTATGTTCTAGTGCTGACCTGTCACTTCATTATTATTAGCTATTTAAGCTTTAAACATTAGTTAAAGAAAAGAAGCTGCTGACATCTGATGTTTTCATGTTCAAATCTGAGAGATGTCATAGGTGCAACTGTAAAAGAATTGGCTTTTGGATGGCCATGTGAGGAGAAGGGGACCCTGAGCTCCCACAGCTCTGAGAGTATCCTTGATTTTTAGCAGCTCTGAGAGGATCCCTGATCCCTTGATGACAGTCTCCTAGTTTTGCCTTAGATGTTTCACAGATTAGCTGCTGCCTGAGCATCAGAAGCATTTGATGTGCGTTGTGTTTCATCACTTTCTTGATTTGCCTTTGATAATACAGATGAAGCAGCATTTTGCAAGGTGAGTCATAGTTTCCCTATTCCATCCCAGCTCCTCTGTATTTCAGAGACAAATATGTGTATTTATAACAAACCTCAGAGCTATTTTGAGATTCATGCTGCTTAAAATGCAAAAAAAATCCAACCCTGAATCCAAGAAGAAATGTCAAGTGCCATAGAGATGTGCTGCTTTTCCAAGACCAAGAGGAAAAAGCTAAACCTTCCCTTGTGTGCAGATAGAGTAACACTTATGGGAAAGGCCAGAAGCTAGAGGGGAAGGACAGAGATGACATGGTGATGGGGAAGGGGGGAGTTCTTTGGGAGCATGTGATCTCCTTTACCCACCACAAGATGCATTGTGGAGTCTCTGTGTCTTCCATGAACAAGCACTGCGCTTTTATCATCCTTGGGGAGCAGTTCTCAGCGTGCAAGTTTTCCATGACTTTCTGTTACTTGGGCTGCTATAGCTGCGGCTGGTGTAGGGCAGCAAACTACGCTGCAAAGCCAGATGTCTAGGTTGAGATGTTCTTCACAAAAGAAGGCATAGTCATGCACAGAAAAACAAGAGGGAGAGAAATAAGCTGACCCAGGGCAGACACATCTTACCAGATTCTCAAGTTCTGGCAAATGCAAACTATTTTGCTTAAGAGAAGTTCAAGCTTTTGTTCGTTCATTTTGAAAGTACTTGCTGTTGTTAGAGCAACTCCTAAAAGGGCTGTGGAACTGATGGACAGGAGTAGAGCAGTTGATGTCATCTACCTGGACTTGTGCAAAGCGTTCAACACTGTCCCACACAACATCCTTGTCTCTAAATTGGAGAGACATAGATTTGATGAATGGACCACTCGGTGGATAAAGAACTGGCTGGATGCCGCACACAAAGAGTTGTGGTCAATGGCTCAATATCCAGCTGGAGACCAGTAATGAGTGTTATCCCTCAGGGCCCAGTGTTGGGTTCAACATCTTCGTCGCTGACATGGACAGTGGGATTGAGTGCGCCCTCAGCAAGTTTGCCGATGACACCAAGCTGTGTGGTTCGGTTGATACGCTGGAGGGAAGGAATGCCATCCAGAGGGACCTTGACACGCTTGTGAGCTGGGCTGATGCCAACCTCATGAAGTTTAACCATGCCAAGTGCAAGGTCCTGCACCTGGGTCAGAGCAATCCCAGGCACAGCTACAGGCTGGGCAGAGAAGAGATCCAGAGCAGCCCTGCAGGGAAGGACTTGGGGGTGCTGGTCGATGAGAAAATGAACATGAGCCGGATTCAGTGTGTGCTTGCAGCCCAGAAAGCCAACCGTATCCTGGGCTTCATCAAAAGGAGCGTGACCAGCAGGTCGAAGGAGGTGATCCTGCCCCTCTACTCTGCTCTCGTGAGACCTCACTTGGAGTACTGTGTGCAGTTCTGGTGTCCTCAACATAAAAAGGACATGGAACTGTTGGAACACATCCAGAGGAGGGCCACAGGGATGATCAGGGGACTGGAGCACCTCCCATATGGAGATAGGCTGGGAAAGTTGGGGCTGTTCAGCCTGGAGAAGAGAAGGCTGCGTGGAGACCTCATAGCAGCCTTCAAGTACCTGAAGGGGGCCTGTAGGGATGCTGGGGATGGACTCTTCATTAGGGACTGTAGTGATAGGACAAGGGGTAATGGGTTCAAACTTAAACAGGGGAAGTTTAGATTGGCTATAAGGAGGAAATTCTTTACTGTTAGGGTGGTGAGGCACTGGAACGGGTTGCCCAGGGAAGTTGTGAATGCTCCATCCCTGGAAGTGTTCAATGCCAGGTTGGACAGAGCCTTGGGTGACATGGTTTAGTGTGAGGTGTGCCTGCCCATGGCAGGGAGGTTGGAACTTGATGATCTTAAGGTCCTTTCCAACCCTGACTATTCTGTGATTCTATGATTATAACTCTGTTGGGTTTTTTTGTTGCTTTATGACTTCAGATTTTTGTTTATAAAAGCCTCTCTGCGTGTTTCAGAGAGGTACACAGGGTCTCCTGCATCCAGCTCCTTACATGATGATTACATGCAAGGCAAGAAGAATACACCGAAGTACCAAGAAGCACCGCCACCCTCAGGCAGCCGGGCTTTCACCAGAGGTCTGTCTCTCACCAAAGGCAGCAGAACCGTTCCACCACTGATATCACCAACACCGTTCCCCAGTTCCCCTTTGTGGGATGGGCCTGGGACTGGTCCCTCACAGCTGTGAGAGGACACAACACCACCCACAGCTCTGAGGGCACTCCAGTCCTTATGGCTCTGAGGGGAGCCTGCGTCCCCATAACTCTGAGGGGTCCCCTAGGATTCAGGGCTCTGAGGGGATCCTGTACTCCCATGACTCTGAATGGGACCCTGAGCCCTCACAGCTCCGAGAGACCCCTGCATATTCATGGCTCTTAGAGGATCTTGAATCATTACAGCTCTGACCCCTCTGGTCCTTCATGGCTCTGAGGGGATCCTAAGCCCACATAACTCTGAGGGGACCCTGTTCCCTCACCACTTCAAGGGGAGCCCCAGTCTGCCACAGCTCTGAGGGGACCCTGCATGCTCATGGCTCTGACCTCTCATGGCTTTGAGGGGACCCTGAGCTCCCCCCGCTCTGAGGGCATGCTGCACTGAGAGGATCCTGTTCCCGTTTGGCTCCAAAGGGACTCTGTTCCATCACAGCTCTGACAGGATCCTGATCCCTCATGGCCCTGAGGGTCCTGCTCTGTCACGGCTTTGAGGGAAACTTATTCCTCTTCGTTCTGAGAGGATCCTGAACCCTCGTGTCTCTGAGAGGACCCCGATCCCCCACAGTTCTGAGGGGATCCCCAGTCCTTCATAGCTCACAGAGGATCCCCGATCCCTCTTGGCTCTGAAGGGATCCCAATCCCTTTCAGCTCATTGAGGTCATGGAGAAACCTGGGTCCATCTCGGCTCTGTCGGGATCCCGATCCCTCCTGGCTTATGGAGAATCCCGGATCTCTCTCGGCTCCGAAGGGATCCCTGATCCCTCTCGTTTCGGCGGTGCCGCGCACCCCACCGAGCCCTCCCGCCTGTGGGCGCCGCAGTGCTTGTGGCGGGGCGCCGGCAGGGGGCGCTGCGGTGCCGGGCACGGAAGCGGCAGCGGCAGCGGCCGGTGTCGGCGGTGCCGGCGGTGCGGCCATGGCCGGTCCGGAGGCCGAGCGAGCAGAGGCGCAGGCGGTGGCGGCGCGGCTGCTCCGCCTGGAGTCCCGCCTGGCGCGGGCGGAGCGGCAGCTGAGGGCCGCGCTGGCTCTGCGCGGCCGCCTCCAGGCGCTGGAGCGGCGGCTGGAGACCGGCGGCGGTTGCAGCGGCTGCTGCGGCGGGGCCCCTCGAATGTCAGCGAAGCGCTGGGCGGCCGGCGGCGGGCGGCGGGCAGCCCGGCCCCGGGCAGGGCAGGGCCCGGTGAGCCTGGAGGACGTGTGGCTGCAGTTCAGCGAGCGGGAGTGGCGGGCGCTGCGTGGTTGGCAGCAGGCCCTGCACTGGGCCGTTATGCGGAGCAACTACCACATGCTGCTCTCCCTCGGTAAGGGCCTGACCTCGACCTCCACCTCGAGCCGGGTGTGTGTGGTGAGGGTCGGAGCGGGAGGTGGGCAGGAAGAGAGTCCCTGCCGTGTCACCGCTAGCCCTGTGCAAGCGGGACCTGTGGCTGCTCCTCAGTTCACCCCTCCTGCAGAGCCAGATGCTCCCAGACGTGATACCCAGGCCCGGTCAGAGGATGCGATCCAGCCGAGTGTTCAGAGCTGCGCGGATGGGGATGGGAGAGATGATCCTGAGGAGAGTGGTGAGTGGCTTTGGGGTGAGTGGGCTGTTGGGACGTGGAGTGCCAAAACCTCCCCAGGTGGGCCAGTTCTGGGACGTCAGCCTCTCCAAGGCACTCGCTGTGTTGAGTGTGGTCTTACAAACGTAGCTGTTGGGCACCTCATCCCTACCAGCCTTACCAGGAGGCTGCATTGAAGCATTTCCTTGCCCTGTCCTGGTTGCTGTACTACCATGTCTGCATTGCCAGAGCAGGGTGAAGGTCAGTTCTTGACCACTGGATGTCAAGAAGCCTTTGCATTCCGTGTGCACAGATGTGCCAGATGTAGTTGGTTTTACATACGCATGAAGTGTTCTTCCAGTTCATTGTGTTACGGAGGTGACATGTAGAGCAGTAGCCCATCGGCTTTTCCTTATTTCGTAGCATTTTTTGGATATACGAAATTCATAATTCTTGCTAGAGCTTTTTGATGGGCTGGAAGCAGCGTGTGTTTTACTGAGAGTAACTGCAAAGGGATTGACACAACTCTGGCACAGCCAAAAGAGAAGTAAACCTCGAGAACAAGAATTCAGGTGGCACTGCCCTTTCCCAGGGTGGCATAGGATGAGTTTTCAGCTGCTGATGGGCACCACCACAAAATGGACATTTCACCTGCATGAAATTTTTGTGGGTTTCGGAGGCTCAGAATGTCTGCTGAGGGTTTTGTGGCAAATACTTGAGGTCTGTTTGAGGGACCTATGTCAGCAAGAACTGATGTGAGGGCTCTGTCTAGATTGCAAGCTACAACAGAGCTGCTGGGGTGAGAATTGGTATGGAATTAAAATAACATTGTTTCCTATTAACAGAAGACAGCATAATCCATATTAAGCAAGAGGAAGAGTTGGCCTCCGCAGATCAGCAGGAAGGGGAGGCTGGAAAGGCTCCTGAAGAGCCCTGCCCAGGTGAGTAACTGCATACCTCGGAGGGAAAATGAAACACAAGGATTAAATTCCAAGGTTGGGGATTTTTTCCACCTCTTCTCACGTATCCCAGATGTTTTATGAAAAGCTCACAGGTTTTGAACAGACTTGCCCCCAGTCCTGATAGGTAAGGGCTGGTATTCTGTCTTGCCCTTCTCACAGCCGCTTTGGAGTTTGCGAAGCACATGTCTGGTTCCCATCCAAGCAGTGCAGTGAGGAGTAGGAAATGTTTTGTTCTCCCTTAATTTCTTCACTTTTCTTACCTCACGTTGACAGCTCTGGTTAAATATATCATCACAGTTGGTCACTTTTCGGGGCCGATAGGTTAACTTGGAAGAAGCAAAACTCAGAGCCAGAATGAGGTGTGGGGTTGGTGCCATCCACTGAACAGGTGTCTGTGGGGAGCTCTGCATCTCCCCAACCTCTGCAGCTTTTTCTCACAGGGCTGTGGTGCCTCTCCTCCTGCACATCCAGAGGCTTCAGGTTGCCTTTTCCCTCCTGTGCGTACACAAACAAGTGCATGGGCACCTGGGGGTGCTGGTGCTGTACAGGGAGCCTGAACAGGCCAGGGACTTGTTTCTTGCCTTCTCACTTGGTGGTACCTCTTTGTATTACAGATAAACTATTCTGCTTTGGAGCTCACTGTCCTTACCCTTTACAAAGGGCAGCAGCTTGACCTGCCGGCTCCGTCATCACTGTACTTGGCATCCAGTATGTGGCAAACTGGGAGTTTTAGACCTTTAAGAAACAGGGATTCTGGGAGCTTGGCTTATGTGAAAATGGAAATCAAGAGCAGAGCAGGTTCCACCCTTGTGAAATCCTGAGCTTACACAGTTACAATGTACTTGTCTTCAATTTTCTCCTTTAGCAGAGCAAGCGTTTTACGAGCCTGAGTCTTCAAATCAGCCCAAGAAAGGCAAAGAGGTGCATGCCAGGGAGCTGCCGGGTATGGAGGGTGAGGACCTCCCAGGAGACCCTGATGGTGAGGATTCCCTGGCAAAAACTCCCACTGAGGGAATTGCCACTCCTGCCAAGTCTTCCCTGAGGCTTTGTCAGAGCTTTCCTTGTCTTTGCATTCCCAAATATTTTGTGCTTTGCATCTTTGTTCGATGTTTCTCAACTGTGTACATTCTCCCTCATGAGCAGGATTTCAGACTTACGCAACTGATGTTTTATCATGGATTAAACAAGAAGAGGAGCCACGCTGCCCTGAACAACGAGACTTGGAGAAAGAAGTCTCTGCAGATCCAAGCACAGGTTAGTAGTGGATTTCAGCTGAGATTTCTGGGACAATAATTTAGATTGTTTCTTTATACTATATTTGCTGTCATGAACTAGTAATTTAAGATATGAAAGAAGCAGAGCAAACCTCAGTCTGCTAGTTAGTATTTGTTCTCAAAAGCTGGAGGTTCAGTCAGCTGAAGAGGCTCTGGTGAGACTCCTCCCTGCAGTCCTGCATCCAGCTCTGGGGTTCCCAACATGCAAAGAAGCTGTTGGTGAGAGTCCAGAGGAGGACACAAAGGTGATCCCAAGGGGTGGAGCACCTTCCCTATGGAGACAGGCTGAGAGTTGGTCTTGTTCAGTGAGGAGAAGGCTCCGGGAGACCTTAGAGCAGCTTCCAGTGCCTAAAGGGGCCAACAAGAAAGCTGGAGAGGGGCTTCTGACAAGGGCAGGTAGGGACAGGATGAGGGGGAATGGCTTTAAACTGACAGAGGGGAGACTGAGATGAGATCTGAGGAAGAAGTTCTTCCCTGTGAGGGTGGTGAGGCCCTGGCACAGGTTGCCCAGAGAAGCTGTGGCTGCCCCATCTCTGGCAGTGTTCAAGGCCAGGTTGGATGGGGCTTGGAGCAACCTGGTCTGGTGGAAGGTGTTCCTGCCCATGACAAGGGGTTGGAACTGGATGGTCCTTAAGGTCCTTTCCAACCCAAGCTATTCAAGGGTTCCCTCTGGCTTAGAAGCTTTTAAAGGTAGTACCAATGAATAAGGAGCCCTGAGTTTGCATTCTCAAGCAGGAGAGCTGTCCTGCAGCTAAAGATAAGGTGACTTTAATGCAAAACAATTTTGGGATGTGCTGTTTGGAGATGTGCATGCTGACGTTCATTCGTTTGGAGTTGTTGTGCAGAGCACACTTGGAGCATGGATCGTGCCTGATTCCTTCACCTTAGTTAGTTAAACATTTATAGCACGTGGTGAAGTCACTATAGAGTAAATCAAGGGGTAAACTCTTGGTATGCAGGTAACTGCTTTGAAACTACCAGTGTGTATGATTTTGCCTCACCAGAAAAGGTCATGCAGAATATCACCCTGGTGTAAGTCTGGATCTGCTCCACCTCACCCCTTCCCGCAGGAAGCCTGTTACAACTGCTCCAAGAGCTCACAGGGTGGGCTTCCCAGCCCACTCTGCCTGTGGCAGACCTTCCACCCTGTGCGTACACATAACCTGGAGTTACTGGGGTGGGAGGACATGCTTAGGCAACTACTGTAGAGCAACCCGTGCCTTCTGCATTCATGCTTTAGCTCAGCCTGTTGTAACATGTTTATGTGCTGCTGTCCCGATACACCACTGGAGAAATAAGGGCTGGAGGTGTTTTTGTAGTGCAGGTAACGTTGGATTCAACTGGGTGATGCTGCTTAGAGGCTCATGGTCCTTCACGATACTCAGTGGAGTCTTTCTGTAGTAACTGGCAGATGCTGGAAGAGTCACAGGTCTTAGGGGACGGGAAAATTATGGAGCATTAGAAAGCTGGGCTGAAGAGTATTGTTGGAAATAAGCTGGAAAATGAAACACTGAAAACAATCACAGACAGGGGGGACTTGTAGGTCAGCAGGACAGTTTTGTCCAGTGGCAGAGTGAGAGCTGTGCCAGGTGCCTTTTTGGGTTGGATTGTTAGGAGTCATAAGTGTTTTCTGAGAAAAGCAGGAGAGGCATCTAGGCGAGAGGCAGCGCTCCATCAGGGCGTGCCTCTGCATCAGTCCAGAGCTGTGTGCCTGTCTGGGGATCACTTCTAACATGCAAGAGCTTCCTCCACTCAGCTGCTCAAGCTTTCTCCAAGGAGAAAGACCCAGCCAGAGAACATCTCCCTGTAGAACCCCAGCCAGGGATCCCAGAAAGGGATCGCTCCAGGGACACGCCGAGCTGGCAGTGGTGCCTTGGCTTGGGCCCTTCCTGCTCTAGATGCTTGCTGTAGTGCCTGGAGAGCAGCAGAGAGCACCAACGGGTGGCCATGTCCACTCTGTCAAGGAACTTTGACCTCACATTTCAGATACCTGTGTGAGAGGGGGAATATAAGACGTTGCATTAGTGATTTGTTCTGTAGATATAAAAGAAAAAAAGTAATTGGAAAAAATAAATCTTCTGTTTTCCTGAAGATTTTCTCTCAGTGGAACACTGGTACTTGCTCCCCCATCGGTACTGAAACCTCCCACCTTATTTAGTTTGTCCCTTAGTGTGACTGTAGGCTTGGAGGGACTCTGAGGGGCTTCCTTAATTAGAATCATAGAATCATAGAATGGTTTGGGTTGGAAAGGACCTTATGATCATCCAGTTCCAACCCCCTGCCATGGGCAGGGACACCTTCCACTAGACCAGGTTGCTCAAGGCTCTGTCCAATCTGGCCTTGAACACTGCCAGGGATGGAGCATTTACCACTTCTCTGGGTAACCTGTTCCTGTGCCTCACCACCATCACAGTGAAGAACTTATTCCTTACATCTAACCTGAACTTCCCCTGTTTTAGTTAAAAACTCTGAAATGTATCTGTTTCAGCGCATGACGAAAACACAAAGAGGGACCCTCCAGCAGGTTGCTTTGAAAGCACAGCACGTGACTCAGAGGTGCCAGGAAGACCTGGAGAGCAGTTTTCCAAGGATCCTAGCCCCGGAGTGACGTGGGATAGTCAGTGGAATTCAGAAATGATGGAAACAAACACTGCTGGGAACAGTCTTGGGGATGATGCTCAGCACACCCGAGGATTTGGTGAACACTTGGATTTCTTCAGCACTCAGGAAAACAGCGTCGGAAAGAGACCATGCTCGTACAACAAACAGGAGAGAAATTCCACCCAGCAGGAATATCTCCAGGCTCCCCAGGGAGCCCGAGAAGGGGATGTGTCTCCAGAACTCACGTGTGAGAGGAGTCTCAACGAAAGGGCATTCCGTGTGCTGCACTCACAGCCGTGTGCTGCGGGTGAGAAAAGAGGCGGGCAGGGGCCTGCTTCTGCCTGCTATGAGGGGCTACCCATGGGGCCACAGCTTGCCACCCACCCCGACTGCGGACAGAACCCTGCAGGTGAACCTGGGCTTCATGAGCACCATGGCCTGGGTGGAGAGGAGCAGCTGCCAGCAGAAAGCGAGGAGAACTTCCCTGCCGAAAACCCTTTGGCCAGCCCCTGCTGGGATCATCCACAGGACAAGGCGGAGGCCTGCAGTAGGTGCCAGCAGCACTTGGCACCACGGGGCAGCCCCGCAGGACAGCAGCAGAGCCAAGGCAGGGGCAAGTCCTACATTTGCAGTGACTGTGGGAAAGGCTTCGTGTGCCATTCGTGGCTTGTCAGGCACCAGATGACTCACACTGGAGAGAGGCCGTACAAGTGCTCCGAGTGTGACAAAAGCTACCGGAGAAAGGATTACCTTCTAAACCACCTGCGCCGGCACTCGGGAGAGCGGCTCTTCCAATGCTCCCTTTGCAGGAAGAGGTTTGTGCTCAGGAGGAGTTTGGTGAAGCATCAGGAAAGTCACTTGCAAGAAACACACCTGGCCTTGGCCAGTTGGCCCTGCACAGAGATGAGGGGGGCTGTAATGCACTCCATATAGACAATGCCACCTGGCTGGGGTGGTTTGCATCACCCTCAGCTGTCACATTTGCTGGGCAGGGCCATGGCAAGATCCCCCTGCTCTGAGCTGGGCCGTGGCAGGAGGAGGCAGCTGTGGAACAGCCATCTTGAGCCCGCTCCCAGGCAAAGGAAGAAGGTTGGGCAGTTACTTGCCACAGATGGCATTGAAATGGTGTGTGGAGCCATTTCACCGCCTTCACCAGTGCCTGTTGCTGCTTGGCACGTGCTGGAGCTGTCCTGGAAGTCTGTGGTGCTCAAGAGTTACTGCTAGCTGTGAATCCACACTGGAGAGAAAGCTCACTGACACACAGAACATTCTGTAACACTTAGGGCTGGAGAAAGTCTGCAGAGTTACCCCTAGGCTGCAGAGAGTCTGAAGAATCCAGGGACTGGGCTGGAAGTGAAGTTGCTAACACTAATTTTCCAGGTGGAACAGTGTTAGGAAAGACCCACTTTTCTGAAATGCTGTGAGGAAGGAAGCACTGAACCTGTTGGAAGAAGCCTCTTCAAGAGTGGCAGCTGGGACAGAGGGGCGCAGAGTACAAGAAGCAGCTTGTTCCCGCAGTTAAATCATGGGGTTCATGGGGCTCCGTGCTGCTGAACCCCAACTGTGAATTCCTGAAGGCAGAGATCCTCACCTGGAATAGGGTTTTGATTTTGCATAGCCTTAAAGTTGTGTGGCAGTTACTTTCCTTCCTTGTTGCAGGTCTTGTGTGTGTTCAGTTTGCCAAATCCTGTGAAAGCAGACCCCTTAGATGCTTGTTAAACATTCTCCTACAGAAAAAAAGTATTTTTGCTTGTCTTTGGTGCCTCTTAACAGCGCTGTGAGGCTCTGACGTGCCACGGCACTGCAAGGACATGATTTCTTCTTTTCCATGATCCAAGCCTGGGTGTACCCAATGTCACCGTGTCGATGGTGTCAGAAGGAAAATGCAGAAGCAGCAGCACTGGCTGGGTTCAGAAGAGCGTTTTGGTTCAGGGCTCCATCATTGCCAGACAGACTTTGTTAAACGGTCTTTTTTTACGTGCATGTTTCTGCTTCAGTTCTGTGAGGATGGGTTCGCGTCTGCTGGGAATGTGATGGGTTTTTAAATTACAGTTGTTAGAGACATTTCACTGCTTGTTCCACAAGGGAAGGAGGGAGGATGGGCAAGCTTGAAGCCAGAGGAGAAGCTCCGCGGCTTCCGTCCCACGTCACAGCTTTGCTGCAGTGACCGAGCCGGGACGAGGGGGAGCAGCCGGCCCCCCCGTCCGTTGCTGAGTGAGGCCTCCCCGGCTGGAACGGGGCCACACGTCGGGGCGGGAACAGGCAGAGCCAGGCCCGTTCCCCTGGGCACCGCATCCCCCTCGGGCTCTCGGCGGCGATTCGGTCCCCCCGAGCCGCCGGAGGTCCGCGTTGCTATGACAACAAGTAAACGCGGGCTCGTCATCCCCGCCCTGTCATGGCGCTCTTACTGTCTTCCAATCAGCGTCCTGCTGCTTCTTTCGCTGGCCAATGGGAATGAATGTGTCTGCCCGACCTTCCTCGTGGAGGACTCTCCCCACGTGCCCGCGATGATTGGTTGTCGTGACGCCGGTTCTCCAATGGGAGGGCGGAGGCTAGGAGTGACAGGCCAATGGCGAGGAAAAGTGGGCTGCACCTCCCAGCCCGGGGGTGGCTGCGCGTGGAGGCCGTCGCCGCGCCCGATTGGCTGCAGTGCGGGCGAGGGGCGTGGCGTGGTGCCGCGGAGGGGCTTGCGGCGGTGCCGCTGGTGGTTCGGCGCCGTGAGGGGAGGCGTCCTCGGCACCAGTGGCGTGTGGCAGCGAGGCGGGAATGGCCGCCTTGGGGTCCCGATCCCCTGCGAGGCTTGTGTGCCTGCTGCGGGGGCCGGGTGGCCTGCGGGGCCCGGGTTTCGCAGCTTGCGGGAAGGCACAGACACTGCCGAGGCACGCAGGGGAAGGCAGCAGCGTCTGCTAGAGAAGCGAGGGGGCCGTGTTTTCCTCTAGTGTCAGTTTAACAGAGCTCAGATATCGGCCCTCGGGGAGTAATGATCTCCTCCTGACTCGCTGGGCGCTGGTGCACAGGAATGGGTGGTGAGTAGGGTACACAGCAGGGCCCAGTGCCCTGGCCCAGGGCTGCGTGATTTCCTTCTACAACTGATACCAGAACGTGTCGTGGAGCATCCCATCCGTGTTTCCAGAAACACTCCTCGGTGTGCTCTGCCAGAGCCCTCCTGTCTTCCTGGTTCTTTTGCAGATGCATGCTCTGATGATTTCTATTCTCTCCCTTTTCTAGCAGTGCCTCTGTGCGGTTTTCTCCTCTTTTCAACGTGCCTCTCCAAGGATCTCCTCTCTGACCAACATCCCAAGATTGCCTCCTGCAGCCCATGCAATGGGAAAATCCTTTTTCAGACCCCACCTATAAATCCAAGCCTTCATTTTTTTGATGTTACTGGGCTATTGCCCTTTTGTTGTTACATTCTGAATAACCACGATGAGCTTTGTTGTGGCACATGGGAGTATTCCTCATGGATATGCAGATTAAGGAAGCATATCCATATGTATCCTCATAGCAGAAGTTGCTTTAAATGTAAATCTGCATCATAATAGTGTGTTATGCTGATTTTAAAGTTTTTTGCCTTTCAGATTCTACACATGGCTTTGAAGGAGGGAGGCGGTGTGTGAAAGAAGACCTGGCTCCTGCTCTCCATGTGCCGCAGGCATTGGCCCCATGTCTCCAGCAATGAAGTTCAGCGCCATGTTTCACATCTCAGTGACCTCAACTCTTCGTGTCTTTTAAACCCACATGTTTTCTTGAGAAGTTTTATCCTGTTTAATACAGAAGTTCATTAGAAACTCTTTAAACTCTCTTCCTGGCTTGTTATTTAGGGATTTGTTCCTGTTTACCATTTTACAGTGGTTTATTGCTCGGTGCTGAACTGTCAGAATGCCACCACGTACAAGAACAGCACTGTTATTGCCTATGGTTTTCCTCTACAAAATAAGCCTCTCCTGAAGCAGTGGATTCACAACATGGGCTGGGACATGGGAACGCCATCCAAGCACTAGTGATTATGTCTGAAGCACTTTGAGAACAGCTCTTTTGAAACTGAGCCCTTAAAAATGAGAAAAAAACTGATGGCTGCTGAAAGAAGCCATTCCCAAAAAATTCCTTTTGGGGGAAGATGGGAATTGTCTTGTCAGCACGCTGCAGAGTTTCTGTGGTGGGATAAGTAATATATCTTGGAAACAAATCCAGAATCCTGAGCCTTTAAGGGTAATTAAGATGTTTGCTGTTGTCTTTATTTCCCTTGAATAAAAAGATTTGCACGTGGAGCCCTTCAGGGGAGCAGCAGTATGGATACGGGTGGTTAGGGTTAGAATGCAGAATGCAGAGGCAGCACTGGGAATTAAAAGGTATCTTGATGCTCTTTGCACTCAAATTCCAATTTTATGCCTAAATCATAGAACCGCAGAATGGTTTGGGTTGGAAACGACCTGAAGATCAGCCAGTTCCAACCCCCCTGCCATGGGCTGGGACACTTCACACTAGACCATGCTGCCCATGGCTCTGACCAGCCTGGCCTTGAGCACTGCCAGGGAGGGAGCATTCACAGCTTATTTGGGCAGCCCGTTCCAGTGCCTCACCACCCTAACAGTAAAGAACTTCTTCCTTAGATCTAACCTGAACTTGCCCTGTTTAAGTGTGAACCCGTTACCCCTTGTCCTATCACTACAGTCCCTGATGAAGAGCCCTTCTCCAGCATCCTGGGGAGCAGATCTGCTGTTTGCTGGAAATGTAGCCCCACTTCACACTGCAGAACAAGCTCACTCCCCACAGACCTGTATGTGTACATGACTCTTTTGGAGTCACTGAGGTGACCTCTTGGTGCCCACAGTGTGGGTGTCTGAGGCTAAGCCGAGGGCTGAACTTCTGCTCAGCCTTTTCCCCTGTGTATTTAACTGGGGCTGTGATCCCATCTAGTGACAAATTGCTGGAGCTTAATTATTTCCCTTGGCAGCGGATGCATACAATTGAGTTTATACATGACTTGAGCTGCAAAATGTCTCAGCCAGCAAGATGGGAGTTAGATTGGAAGGCAAATTAAGACTCAAAGGCAAGCACGCACAAACACAGTACTTGGATATAAAGTGCAGCTTCAACATATGTATACCCCATGTAAGACATCGCAGAAAATTCATCCCCACAGAAAACCCCACAGTATTAATCTCTTGGTATTCATAGAGCTTAATTTGTCACTTGTTAACATTTATTATTAGGGAAGAACCCTGATAGCCTGTGGCACTGCCTCAGGGCTTGTTTAAAATACCCTCTGGAGTATTTTCTGGTTTTCAGTGAAAGGAAGAGCTACATTCCCTGCTGGCACTGAGTATCAGTGGCAACCACAGGTATTTATTGGTTTAAGACTAATTTTTGACCCAGTCATTACAGAAAGCCGTTGCTTCAGTTGAGTCACATCATTCTAAAGTCATTTTATTCATTCTGAGCTATGTGCAGAAGTAATGGTAGGAGATTCGTATATGAAGGCCTTAATTATATAAAGTCCTTAATCAGTCTGCTAGTTGTACGCAGTGTGGTACCTAACAGTACAACAGTGCTAGAAACAGTTGGCTGGGGACTGCTTCCTTACTGCTGTTTGAAGAAAAGGGCTTTTGAGGATGGTGGCAGTAGCTACTGATTGCTTTGGTTTAGGTCCCTGGGACGTTTGGTGATGCTGCAGCACATGAGGGGAAGACTGGCAGAAAGAGCTTTACCAGAAGGTGATAAAGGAGAATTACAAGTCTTTAACCACACTGGGTTAAACAGCAAAGGTTAGCTTTCCATTTCTCGCTGAAGGCCAACAGCTCCATGCTGTTCCTGACCTGGCTCTTGTCTAACAGTCACTCCTCAAATCCCTTGATTTCTCATGAATTAAACTTTAGATACTTCTGAACCTTTGTGAGAGGTGATAATCTCCACAGTGTTTAAAGACTGAAGGACAGTCACTTTCCTGACTGCTCCAAGATCACTGCCTCACTACACGCTGTGGGTGTATCATAGAAGCATCCCAGAATGGTTTAGGTTGGAAAGGATCTTAAAGGTCACCCAGTTCCTGCCCCCTCCCACAAGCAGGGATACCTTCCACTATCAGGTTGCTCTGAGCCCAGTCCAACCTGGCCTTGAACACTGCCAGGGATGGGGCAGCCACAGCTTCTCTGGGCAGCCTGTGCCAGAGCCTCACCACCCTCACAGGGAAGAACTTCTTCCTCAGATCCCATCTCAGTCTCCCCTCTGTCAGTTTAAAGCCATTCCCCCTTGTCCTGTCCCCACCTGCCCTTGTCAAAAGCCCCTCTCCAGCTTTCTTGTTGGCCCCTTTAGGCACTGGAAGCTGCTCTAAGGTGTCCCCGGAGCCTTCTCTTCTCCAGGTTGAACAAGCCCAGCTCTCTCAGCCTGTCTCCATAGCAGAGGTGCTCCAGCCCTTGACGCATCTTTGTGGCCTCCTCTGGACTCACTCCAACAGCTCCACATCCTTCATCTGTTGGGGTCCCCAGAGCTGGATGCAGGGCTCCAGGGGGGTTTATGATACTATGATGATGATGCCCTAGAACATGAAGAAGTCTTACCAGTCAGTTTTGGGTGCCCAGCTGTACATTTGTTTGAAATCATGATTTTTTTCTTAAATTTGAAGGTGTGAGCCCCCACTGGGTCCTCAGCATTCAGGTAATTCCTTGGAGAAATACAAGAACCTGCTGTAATTAAGGGCTAAAAGTGCATTTACATGCCTTCTGGACCAGAGGAACAGAAGTGCTGTGAACCCCAGGAGCCTGTGTTGTCACATACTCCATTTTGTGCTTTGTGATTCTCTTCAGTAGGGTTTAAGAATTGCTGATAGAGCTATCCCTATTCTTTTGCCATATCTGCACTTCCAAATTTGAAATGACATGGAATAAAGAGACAATTTAACCCCTTTCTTTCCAGTTCTTTACATACCCTCTGGGTTTTTTACAGTAGAAAAGCTAGAGGCAGCACAAAGCTGCTCTGTTTTTTCTACAGCTCTGCTCTGCTAAAAGAATATGTGCTGTGCATGGCAGGACGAGGAATTAGCTGGTGGAAAATAAGTTCACCTATCAGAAAGACAGCTAGAACAGGCTGACAACAAGCTGTCTTCAGGGCTGCTTGTTGCACAACGTGCCCTTTGACTACATCCATACAATGAAGTAGGATAGGAAATATCTTTGTAATAATAGGGGAAAAAAACAGAGGAGAATAATCACCATCATTTGGGGGTTGGAACTGGATGAGCTTTAAGGTCCCTTCCAACCCAACCCATTCTATGATTCTATGATTCTAGTCATGGAGTCTATCCTATTTCTTTCATGTTCTATTTGTTGTACAGACCATCCTCCTTCCAAAAGCAGCATCCAGGCACACAAGGTGCTGCACATCAAGGATCAATGAGATCTGGGGGAAAGGGAAATTCCTGCAAGTTTCGGTGCAGGTGTGGGTGAGACCCATCAGAAATTAAACAGAAAACACATTGAAATCATACAGGCTGGTAGGATTAGAGGAAGAGGGATTGTGGCTCACGCCTGCTTTCTTATCCCAAACTTGTTTTCTTTGTATGGATGTAGCCATGGTGAAGCAGGAATTGTTCTTTGGAAATGTATGTTATAACACATCAGGTAAAGTGAACATTTGGAATTTTGTCGTCCCAGGCTTTGCTGTGATGAGATCCAAGTTGCAGAGTCATGCAGAGTATGGGAAGTAACGAACTACATGTGTCATTCCCAAGAGAATCCCAAGATCTGAGCTGCCCAATTTCATTCAAGGGGGTAACATCTGAGAGTCATCAGAATTCAGCACCAGTCAGGCAAATCCAACAGGAAACTGAAAAGGTGACAGCTCTCTTGAGGAAGGAGATCCCAGTGAATTCAAGGAGATCCTTTGTTATCGGCAAACCCATGCAGGAGAATGCCTGTTTCTGTGCATGAAATGTCGTAAGACTTGTAAATTGAAAACTGGGCTTCAAAAACATAAGCAAATTCACACCAAAAGGGCTTGAGTGTCCTCATACATAGAATCATAGAATAGTTATGGTTGGAAAGGACCTTAAGATCATCAAGTTCCAACCCCCTGCCATGGGCAGGGACACCTCACACTAAACCATCTCACCCAAGGCTTCATCCAACCTGGCCTTGAACACTGCCAGGGATGGAGCATTCACAGCCTCCCTGGACAACCCATTCCAGTGCCTCACCACCCTCACAGGAAAGAATTTCCTCCTTATATCCAATCTAAACTTCCCCTGTTTAAGTTTGAACCCATTACCCCTTGTCCTACCACTACAGTCCCTAATGAAGAGTCCCTCCCCAGCATCCCTATAGGCCCCCTTCAGATACTGGAAGGCTGCTATGAGGTCTCCACGCAGCCTTCTCTTCTCCAGGCTGAACAGCCGCAACTTTCCCAGCCTATCTTCATACAGGAGGTGCTCCAGTCCCCTGATCATTCTCGTGGCCCTCCTCTGGACGTGTTCCAACAGATCCATGTCCTTTTTATGTTGAGGACACCAGAACTGCACACAATACTCCAGGTGAGGTCTCATAAGACCAGAGTAAAGGGGCGCTTTGGTCACCACATAGACCTGATGTGACACCAGAGAACTCACATAGGAGAGAGGACATGAAAGTGTATGGAATGTGAAACAAGTTTTGTGGGAAAACCCAGACTCACTAATCACTTGCAAACTCATCACATACACATGTAGTCAGTGTGCCCAATCCTGCTGGGATGGGTTATTCCATCCAGTTATCAGAAAAACCCTCTCTGTGCCAAGACTATAGAATCACAAAATGGTTTGGGTTGGAATGA